AAGTTTTCGACTTACATGCCATAGGATTGGAGAGAGCAGCGGGGCGATGGGAGCTGGACCAATTCTTGTAACCACAGGTTCTAATATTTCTCAATTGTGTTTGCGCTCTTCTTTCACTCTTAGTACGGGATTGATCAAAATACACGAATATTTTGAATCTATTCAACGTAACCTTCAAATATTTTTTATCTGGCATACCTTGGCACGTGATGGAACAATAACTTGACCAAAATACATGAACATTTTGAATATAACCTTCAAATATTCAAGAATACCTTGGCACGTGATGGAACAATAAACTAAGTCCAGACTTGTCTTGTTTGTGCTGGCACGAAAGGTCAGTCACTACTCAGCATCAAAGCTAAGCAGGAACGTTTCAAGCATGAACCAGCAGGTCAATGGCGTCGTCCTCCCTCCGAGGATCCACTACCGCCGCGTTGCCGCTAGCGCCGCCCCCGGCACCACCACCACCACCAAGCCCAGCAAGTTTGACTACGATCTCTATGTCAAGACCAAGCGCGAGGCCGTGTCCATCTCCCTCCACTCGGTTTTCTCCCCGCCGCTCAAGCAGCCCGAGACGCTCAAGATGCACGAGGCAGTGCGCTACGCGGTGGGCGGCGGGCGGCGGACGTGCCCCATCGCTTGCATCGAGGCGTGCGAGCTGGTGGGAGGCACCTAGGACGACGCCATGCCGGGAGCCTGCGCGCTTGAGATGATCAAGGCCAGCTTCTGCGTCCAGGACGATCTCCCGTCCATCGACGACTCGGAGCTCCGCCACGGCAAGCCCACCGTCCACCGCGCGTTTGGCATCCCCACGGCGCTCTTTGCGAGCACCGCGCTGCTCGCGCTCGGCTTCGAGCACCTGGCGGCGCGGGCGAGGATGGTGGCGGAGGTGAGCCGGGCTATCGGGTCAACGGGTCTGCTGGCCGGTCAAGAACCCGGACCGCGCGGTGGAGCTGGAGACGCTCGGCCTCGAGCAGCGCCGACGTCTTGTGGAGGTGGACGAACCGGGGCCATTGCTGGTGGCGCGAGCGAGCAGGAGATTGAGGCGCTGAGAGCGTATGGACGGGTGACCGGGCTTCTCTACCAGATCATGGATGATGTCACGGATGCTACCAAGACAATGGAGGAGCTCGGGAAGATCCCGGCCAGGACGCGATGGCGGGCTTAACGAGGATCCATTGGAGAGCAAGTCTAGCTCCAATAGCGTATATCAAAGCCATCTTGGGCGTGGACAAGTCGAGGGAGATGGTTGGGCAGCTCTTGGTGGAGGCCAAGGAACGATTGGGTGTGTTCGAGGAGACCAAGGCACTGCCTCTGATCCGCCGATCACTTTGCTAATTAGGCTGTTTTTGGAGACTATATTACTATTGTTGTTGTTGTTGTCGTTATTATTATTATTATTATTATTATTAAGTTTAAGTTTAGCACAACAATAATAAAATCAACTGGAAATAATCATTTGGAGCTCAGAAGTAGTGTGGCTTTTTTCTGGATAGTTTCCCAAGCCTTAATAACATGCTTGGCCTCAGTTAAAGTACCTCCAACGGCCATTCGCAACAAAAAATCTCCTGAGAGCACCTGTTTTTCAGGTGTTTAGATCATTACATGGTGGCATGATTCATTTAGAAACTTACTGTATGTGTAATGAATGTTGTTTCATTTGAATTCACTGCGTGGAGTAAATTTTCATTGAGAGCATTTACAGAACTGGCCTCAATTGCTTTGAGTCTGAAGCAAACAAGTCCAAATCTGCAAGGCACTAAAACCTGCAATACAAACTATTTTGTTATACTGAATTCAAATTAAAGAAGTTGAATTTCACGAACCTCGAAACGTTTGTCTTCACTGACTTTTCTCTCGAAAAGCCTAGCTAGGCAAGCATGGTGTATGATATAGTTTTTAAGTTTGGAGGAGCCATAAAGTCGCATGACAAGCCACAACTTCAGAGATCTAGAAAAATACAAACCAATTAGATATGTGCCAACAATTAAAACATAAACAAAGCAACAACCTGAATCTTTTGCCAAGTGATACTTGCCAGTCCTTGAAATCCACCACTTCCCCCGCCTCAGATGCCTGTACTAAATAAACAAAATTACAATTAACTAATATTTACTCCACACCTTGTTACGAAGATATTCTGACTGGACCGAAAGCGTTGAAGTCAAGGTTCTTGCATTCTTTAATATAACACAATATACTTTAGTAAGAAGTTGGAATGACTTAGCAACAATACCTTAACCCATAATACAGAGCAATCTAGATTTGTCAAGAGCCATTTGTGAGTTCCAACATTGAGTGAATCAGCCTTCTCGATGCCATCCAAGAAATGCCTATACTCGGGGCATATGCACGCACTGCCTCCGTATGCGGCATCTACGTGAAACCACATTCCATATTCCTGGCAAATGGATCAATTATCAAAGCAAGCAACAAGCAAACAAAGTTGGAAATGCCAGATTACCTGAGCAATTTCACCAAGGTCTAGCAATGGATCTACAGCGGCGGAAGACGTGGTACCAAGCTGCAATAAGAGCGTTATGTAAGGATGCAGAAGACCCACGTATCACAGTACCGTGGCACCCAGATACAGTGGTATGACATCGTCCCCGCCTTCCTCAATAGCTCCACGCAAGAGAGCAGGCGAGAGCGCGTAGTTTGTTTCCTTGGTTGTGGGCAGCACCACCAGCTTGATGCCCGCAATCTTACAGGCCTTGTGCAAGCACATGTGAGTCTGATCCGACGTGTACGCTCGGAGTCTGCGCACCACGTCTTCCTCTACAAGCCCATTTGGCGTGTGCTTCGAAATGGCTCGACTCCGGGCGGCACACAGTGTGACGAGCATTCCCTCGGTCGCTGAGCCTTGGATGACGCCCCCGCCTTCGCCTAGAGAGTAAAACAAGCAATACGTAAAGCGAGACTTGGCAGTGTGTGATAGACCTGATGATCCCGAGAGGAAGGAGTCTGGCAGCTCGAGAAGCTTTCCCAGCCAGTTTACGACAATAATCTCCAGCTCCGTGGCCGCGGGTGAGGCGATCCAGCTGAAGTTGACGGTATTGAAGCCGGAGATGAGGATCTCGGCTAGAATGCCGGCGGTGCTACTGTTTGCCGGATAGTAGCTGAAGAAGCTCGGGCTCTGCCAGTGCGTGAGGCCGGGAATGATGATGTTGCTCACATCTAAACAGCCACATTGCCAGATTTCATGAGAGATTCGATGATATAGACGGGAGTACCAACCAGCAAGAATGTCATCGAAGGACTCTGGATCTTGAGGTGCAAATGCGGGGATTAAATCATTCAAGTATCCTGGCTGCACACAGTAGTACAAGTGAGTAGTGACGAGGGAGGAGGAACAGGAGAGAAACGTGAAACATACACTAACTTGGCTTCTGACCGGAAACTTCTCAATGTGGCGATAGTAGTCGGCCACAAAATCCACCATTCGGTGGGCATGCTCCCGAAACTCCTCAGAGTCCATCAACTTGAGGCCGGGTGGTGGTGCCGATTCGCCCATCTCTGAGCTCTCGGGCTATGGCTCCTCAATCAATAATCTTCCTCCCACGTTTTCTATCTGGATCGTATGTTTAGTAAGAGAGTTTCTTTAATCTTTGGCAAGTTTCTTTTACTACCTAGGTATATTTCTAAATTCTATCAAGTCTTGGTGAGAGTGGCAATGGCTGTGGACAACCAGGAGCTTGAAGTGTTTTACGATGAAGGATGTGTGGTGTATGAAGCAGTGTGGGGTGAGCATATGCATTCGGGTTACTTCGATGCTGGCAACACTCGCGACTTTCGAGCGGCACAAATCCGAATGCTCGAGGAGCTCTTGGCCTGGGCAGGAGTACCGGGTAAGCATTTCAATCGCTCCGAGACACACCCTTTTACAATGTGTGCATCTAGACGACGAGCAAAGCCGGCCAAGGAACATTCTGGATGTGGGCTGTGGATTTGGAGGAACATCTCGGTATCTATCCAATAAGTACTCCGCGAATGTCACAGGAATAGCATTGAGTAAGTACGAGATTGGCAGAGCTAGAGCCATTGCAAAGGCAGAGGGTGTTTGTGACAAGGTATTGCTCTACCATCGCACAAATCAAAAGCATCTTCTTGGTTCATTCAGGTGGCATTTCAAGTGGCAGATGCTTTGAGTCTGCCCTTCGAAGACAACCAGTATGATCTGGTTTGGTGCATGGAGTGTGCCGATCATATTGCAGATAAACTCAAGGTAAAACACTCTCATAGAGTTTGAGCTTCATATGTTACTATTTCTTCGTCTGAGCAGCTAATGCAAGAGATGACGCGTGTGGCCAAGCCCGGAGGCTGGGTTGTGCTCACAGGATGGTGTCACCGAGAGTTTACCCATGGCGAAACTTCACTCAAGAAGCATGAGCTGGTCATAGATTTAATCAAGACTGAAAACGTGAGTTAAATTATATTTTAATATATGTGATTTGTGTTTGCAGAAGATCCTGGACAAAGTCCGTGCAGCATATCTTCTTCCACCTTGGTGCCAGACATCTGATTACAAAGTTATAGCAATCGACGCGGGTTTGCAAGTGTGTGCTGTAATCTCAATATAATATTTAGAGTTTACTGTGATTAATGTTGCCAGGGGGTAAAAGTGGAAGACTGGACACGGCACATGCTTCCGTTTTGGGGTCTGCTCACTGCAGAGATCTTTACCTTGAGAGGCGCATTCAAGATTTTGACATCAGGTAATACAAAACTTTCACAAGAGTCTTACCTCTCTAATGAGTAAACAGGATGGGCACATCTTCGTGCAAGTATATCCTTGGCATATCACTTCTCCTACATGGACAAAGGATTCAAGACTGGCGTTTTCAAGTATGCTGTGGTTATGGGAAAGAAAGATAAGAAGTAGTTCCAGTAGCAGGAGACTTGCCTCCTTTATTATCTGTTTTGATTCATAAAGGTCGAACAATTGACACAGCAAATCATCAATAATAATTCATTATTTCTTACACTGGATCGCCAGCGTCTTTGTTCTTGCAATGGCCAGCGAGATCGAAGAGATTTATGATGAGGGATGCGTGGTGTACGAGGCCGTGTGGGGCGAGCATATGCACTCGGGCTACTTTGAGGCGGGCAAGCCTGGGGACTTTCGAGTGGCACAAGTCCGAATGATCGAGGAGGTCCTCTCTTGGGCCGGAGTACCAAGTAAGCTTCCCTCTCTATTCTATTACAATCTCCTAGATGATGAGCAAAGCCGGCCTCGAGACATACTGGACGTGGGCTGCGGTTTTGGGGGAACTTCTCGATATCTGTCCAAGAAGTACTCGGCAAATGTGAAAGGAATAGCACTGAGCGATTACGAGATCGCCAGCTCCATTGCTCCTGTTTTTCTTTCTATTTTAATATATGTGATTTGTGTTTGCAGAAGATCCTAGACAAAGTCCGTGCAGCATATCTTCTTCCACCTTGGTGCCAGACATCTGAATACAAAGTTGTAGCAATCGACTCGGGTTTGCAGGTGTGTGTTATAATTTCAATATATTATCTAGAATTTATTGTGATTAATGTTGCCAGGGGGTAAAAGTGGAAGACTGGACACAGCACATGCTTCCGTTTTGGGGTCTGCTCACTGCAGAAATCTTTACCTTGAGAGGCGCATTCAAGATTTTGACATCAGGTAATACAAAACTTTTGCAAGAGTCTTACCTCTCTAATGAGTAAACAGGATGGGCACATCTTCGTGCAAGTATATCCTTGGCATATCACTTCTCCTACATGGACAAAGGATTCAAGACTGGCATTTTCAAGTATGCTGTGGTCATGGGAAAGAAAGGTAAGAATTAGTTCCAGTAGCAAGAGACTTGCCTCCTAACTCCAAACTTATTCTCTGTTGTGATTCATAAAGGTCGATCACAGGTGACAATTGACAAAGCAATAATTTAATCATCAATAATAATTCATGATTTCTTACACTAGGAAGGAATTTTAGCGTGAGTCCTAGCCGCGGGGGAGGATCTTGCGGCAGTTCCCGTAAGCGCCAGTGTCTGTGTTCTTGCAATGGCCAGCGAGATTGAAGAGTTTTATGATGAGGGATGCGTGGTGTACGAGGCCGTGTGGGGCGAGCATATGCACTCGGGCTACTTTGAGGCGGGCAAGCCTGGGGACTTTCGAGTGGCACAAGTCCGAATGATCGAGGAGGTCCTCTCTTGGGCCGGAGTACCAAGTAAGCTTTTGATCATGGTATCCCTCTCTATTCTATTACAATCTCCTAGATGATGAGCAAAGCCGGCCTCGAGACATACTGGACGTGGGCTGCGGTTTTGGGGGAACTTCTCGATATCTGTCCAAGAAGTACTCGGCAAATGTGAAAGGAATAGCACTGAGCGATTACGAGATCGCCAGAGCCAAAGCCATCGCGAGGGCGGAAGGAGTTTCAGACAAGGTAGATTCCACTCCGTTGTTTGGGGCTGTTTCTAACACTTAACGAACAGGTGACGTTCCAAGTAGCAAATGCACTGAATCAACCGTTCGAAGACGGCCAGTTTGATCTCGTCTGGTGCATGGAATGCGCAGTGCACATTGAGGACAAACTCAAGGTAGAAGAATTCATAATCTTTTCATCTGGGTTTGTTTAAATCCCGCACGCGATTGCAGCTTGTGCAAGAGATGGCACGCGTGACCAAGCCCGGAGGTCGGGTGGTGCTTGTGAGCTGGTGCCACAGAGAACTGAAGCCTGGAGAAACTTCACTCAAGAAGGATGAGCAAGTAAGCGAAGTTCCTAGATATTTCTTGATCCCTTAAAAAGATTGTCATAACATATGGCTTCAGGCGCTCTTGGATAAGATCTGTGCTGCTTACTTCTTTCCACCCTGGTGCGCCACTTCAGAGTACGAAACATTAGCATGCAATGCGGGTTTGCAAGTAAGACTTCGGGTTCTTCATCGACTCTATGGCTGATCTTATGTATTATCTGATCTGTAGGAAGTAAAGGTGGAAGATTGGACTCGACACATGCTTCCATTCTGGGGAATGCTCACGGGCCAGCTCTTTACATTGGGAGGTGCATTCAAGCTCCTGACATCAGGTAAGTAAAGATCTTGTTACGTGTCGCAGCTTTAGTTTCTCGTTTTTATTTCTTGCTTTCCAGGGTGGGCACATATGCGGACAAGTCTGTCATTGGCTTACCACTTCTTCTACATGGACAAAGGCTTCAAGAATGGCACCTTCAAGTATGCCGTGGTGGTGGGAAAGAAAGAGCTGTTATCATAAGGGAGCATTGGATTCCCCATTGCTTCTGTTTTTCTCCAAATTTATGAAGGTATGCAATCCACTTGGAGCATGGAATCAGTTAACCAATTAGTTACTTTTCACGTCCATCGCCCACCTTCTCCATCTCCCTGCGGAACCATATCATTCTTGAAGTATCTTACCATCCCCACCGGTGTCGTGTTAACCTTGTTCTTGTTAGATGGTAAAAAACTTACTACTATGTAAAACTTATATAAACATGAAGTTAACATTTGAAATAGTCCGAGATGGCTTGTCACCCGTTGCTCGTCAAGCTCGGACGACGACGTACACCAGCGAGATGCAAAGCAGACGTAGAGACACGTCGCCAGCAGCCCCATGCTCGACTTCAACGCACACGACCTCCCGGACCTCATGGGAGCCTGGAGCGACAGGCCCTGCTCCTCCAGGCACTCTGTCCCTCCTTCCCCAATGACAACTGACGACACCACCCTCACTAAAGAACGACGTCTCTTATAATTCCTTTATTTTTTGTTTAAAAAAGCGTGTATAGCCCGCAAGAGCACATGCTCCTGCGGGCTAAAGAAGACTATATACGCATGATCTATCTATGTATTTATCTTGCGGCCCACGAGCATCTCATGAACCAACTCGAATATGAATAAATACATATACTTGACCAACTTCAATAAAAACCATTTTCAATGGCATCTGTCACTCAGGTATGATACCCCATTCCCTTTCATACACTATAATTACGAATACCCCCAGCTGGGAGCTGCAAGACTCAATATATTCATTCTTTCATATATTGTTTACATGGTTTTGAAGCAAGAGACCAAAAGATTTAGAAATGAATTTCAACAATGCATTGCTCAATATAGATTAAGTATAGTATTCTATAACTACAAATATCACCTGTATTATTAAAGTCATATAAGAATAAAATCTTTTATAAGACCTGTTTGACCAAAAGGATTAAAATACATATAATATCTAACCCCATGAGATGCTCGTGGGACAAGAAATTAAAGACTACCTTAAAAAAGGTTTTGTGCTGTAACCTGGAAATAAGAGAGCTGTAGTCACTCCTGCAGTTTACGCACGCTCGGTAGAATTTCTTCACTTTGACATTCACAACACTGAGCAAATCAACCGCAAGGTATGGACAACTTCTAGCAATACGTTTATGTATTCCCTCATTGATTGTCTTTCTCGAGAGTAAACAAGCTGAGAACGTTCCAGCTGTGTTTTACTATTCGCTGAGTTTGTGGACAACCAGTTGGATGCCTCGAGGTGCGTCGATGATAACGTGCATCCTGGGGCTGTGCCTGTAACTCGAAGCAGGACTAAATGCAAAGTTGGAGAGCAGCGTAGCAATGGCAACTTTGGCCTCTAACAACGCCAACGTCTGCCCTATGCAAACCCGAGGACCCATGACAAAAGGCATGTACGCACTCGGGTGCTTGGATGCCTTTGCAGCTCCTTGCGAAAAGCGCTCCGGGTTGAACTCATTTGCATCGGCTCCCCACAGCTCTGGGTCGTGGTGGAGCCAGAGAAGTGGAATGGTGACTTGCGTGCCCTCAGGAACTTTGATCCCTCCCAAAACCGTGTCTTTGGAGGCTACTCTCTGGACTTCAGAGATTGCTGGATAGAGCCTCAGTGTCTCGTAAAGAATCATCCCCACCTATAAGTTGAACTTTAAAGAGCATTCGAAAAGGCTGTGAGAAACCTACCAGCTTGAGCTTGTCAAGAGCGCCAACCTGGGAGTTCTCCTTGAAGTGTTCTTGGACCTCGGCTCGGGCTCGGTTTTGCCAGTCGGGGTTGAGGGCGAGCATAAAAAGAGTCCACCCGAGTAAGCTGCCGGTTGTTTCGTGCCCGGCAAGGAAGAACGTCTTGCATTCGTCCACCACCACCTTGTCACTGAATCCTGCAGACTTGTCGCTCTCCTCCAGGATCAAACCAAGCAGATCATCTCCATAGTTGCCGGAGCTTCTTCTCCGTTCATGGATCAAGCTCATCACGGTCCTGTCAATCTCTCTCTTCACCTTCCAAATCTTACGATTGAGAGGGCACGGATAGTAACTGGCATTATAGGATTGTGTGTCAGCAGACTTTCGATTGGTGGAAAATGCATACCTGAAGAGTGGAAGCCAAAAGTAGCTCTGGGCCTCGAGTGCTAAATCACCCAGCACTGTGAGCCCACGAAAGACTTGCTCACCTTTTTCATAGTTGGCACCAAAGGCAACGTGAGAAATGAGGTCTGCGGCGAGCTTCTTCAAGTCGTGCGCCACTTCTAGCTCGGCTTGTCCGTGAGGAACACAAGTTTTCCATTTGGCGACCAGTTTCTCAGAACACGCTCGAATCCTTGCATACATTGCCTAGAAATGGAATCCGTGATCTCTATCTAGATTGCAGAGAAAACAAGTCAAATCTATGCCTACCTTCAACTTGAGCGTATGAAATGCTGGAGAAAGCACATTTCTCCGCTGAGACCATTCCTGGCCGCCTTCCAGCCCGAGGACTCCATGGCCTACAACGTCAATCACGACCTGAACTTGATCGCTCGACTTGGGGAAGTTTTCAAACTGCCTGGACAGGATCTCGCGAGCACAGTCGGGATCGAAGAATGTGACATCGGGAACATCCAGGGACCTTGTCAAGTATGGCTTTCCTGCGGCACATTTTCTCTGTAGAGAGGGAAGTCTGTATAGAAAGCACGGCCTTACCATACTTGGACGACCACAAGACAACTTCGGGCGTGACATGAGCGACAATGTCGTGACAGGTTTCCATCACCTTGCCCTGGTTCTCAATCCTCATCTGGTATTGCTGGCCACTGTTGCCAGCCAAGAACTTGGGCGGCGGTCCCTTGAGCCCCTGCTGCTTTAGTATCCCCTCTATTCTCCTCGAGCGCCTCCATGGTCGCGCAAGCCTCCAGAGCAGCGCCGCGCAAATGCCCACCACACCAAGCACAAGCAACGCAGCCATAGAGCTCTCTCTCTCTCTCTCTCTCTCCGTTTCGGCTTAATGCTAGGTTAGCAATGAATCTTGCTCTTAATCCAGCCCCGCATTTGATGCGAGTAGAGCTAAGTTCGCTTGGTTTCTCTCTCTTCTTGATCTTTCTTTTTTTCTTTTTTGTTCCCAGACAAGGAAGCAGGAGTGTAAGTTCTTTAACCCTTTTCAAAAATGATGTACGAAGAACAAAAGAAGCTTGTCCATGGACCAAAGTTTCTGGCCCGCTACGAGGACGAACTCGCTCGCGAGGGGTGCACACAAACCAAGAGACAGAGGGACGTGCCCACGAAGCCAACAAGAGGCTCGAAAAGGTGATCAGTTTCTTTCTAGCCATCTACGTGACCGGGGGTGTGTCCGAGCTCGGCCCTGAAGGTTCAATTCTAGTAGAAATATTTCGAAGGTCCGGCGTCTGAAGCATTCCCATCGGATGACTGTTGTCTCCCGCACCACAATGGCTCTTAAGCTGCGATCGAATGCCCGACCTTTTGCCACGACGCTCTTCTTTTCAAAGCATGGCAAACTCTGAAAAGCAACACGTCCTGAATTATTGTTTAATTTACATTAGGTACTCGAGCAAGAAAATTCAACCCTGCTTTAGATCGATACCTAGATCTAGGTGGCTTGGATACAATGGCCAATCGACTCGCATCATCTCTGGCAAGCAAATGGAAGCTAGTCCAAGGCCAGACATTCTGGAAAGGCATGCTTGGGAATCCCATGGACGAAACTCTCTGCCAGGAGCTGATCCGCTACGGCCAGCTAATCCAATGCGTGGTGGATGGATTCAACGAAGTCAAGGCATCTCGCTGGTATGGCCTGTGCATTCACGGCAAGTCACAGCTATTCCACAAGCTCCAGATGGGCAACACCGGCTACACGATCCACAAGTACATCTATGGCAGCACCAGAGATCGCCCCCGTCTAATCACAGGTACTGGTACCACCAGGGAGCCCCACACTGGATGGTCTGGCTATCTTGCCATGTCGAACGACCAAGAAAGCTTGAGATTGGGACGAAGAGACATCCTCCTTGCGTTTCGGGGCATGGAGCTCACTCGGGAGTGGTCGGAGATCGACTCACTCTTGCCCCTTCCTCGGCTGTATCCAGCGAAACCGGCAGTGGCGGCCGGAAGCTCGTCGCCCGTGTTGGTGTCCGACCATGTAGCCTCACTCTACACTCACTGCTATCCAGGCGAGGAGTTTGGAAGCACTTGTGTCCGGGATCAGATTGTTTCCACGCTCAGGGGCCTCATCGACGCAAACAGGGACGAAGAGCTGAGCATCACGGTGGCCGGGCATAGCTTGGGAGGTGCGCTTGCAACCCTGTGTGCCTACGACATTGTCAACGAGAGTGTCAACGCAGCTCCCAATGGTAAGATGATCCCGGTGACCGCATTTGTCATTGGTGGTCCCCAAGTTGGCAACTATGCGTTCAAGGTGGCGGCGGAAGGGTTGCAAAGCCTGCGAGTCCTCACCGTGGTAAATCCCTTGGATGTGGTTACCAAGCTCCCGGGAAACGCTCTGGGTTACGTATCTCACATTGGGGTGCTGCTGGAAGTCGTCCACACCGGCTTGGCTTATCTTAAGCACAAACCCGAGGATCTTGCAGTGCATGACTTGCAGCTCTACTTGCATCTGATTGGCAACAAAGTGGAGCCTTTCAAGTATCACCAGCTTGAGCTTCTGAACAAGTCTGCGGATCTGCTGGCGAATCCGATCGTTCCGCCCAAGTGGTGGTATGTCCGAGGTGTGGATGTGATTGTCAGTGTGGACGAGGAAACGGGGAAGCTGTGTTTCAAGCTGACAAATGTCTCTCCAAGTGATCCAGAGTACAGTTGAGTTCATGGATGGACTTTTATGATCAAGCTGTGTTCATGGATGATTGTATTCTTATTCCACTACTGCTATATTCCAGTTTGCAAACCTGGAAGTTCTGACTTTGAACTATGCTCAAGGAAGAAGCAGCGACTCCAGACGCTCTAGCTTCGTCTGGATTGCAGCACTTGTGCTACATCCGGATTCCGGATGAGAATGACTCAATAAAAATGGTACACTATAGTCTTTGAACTGAAGCTCCAAGTTACTCTCATCTTTGTTTCCAAGGCATGGGAAACCTGAAAAGCAACTCACTGACTTACCACTCTTTGACCTGCATTTTCTCTGTTTTTTACTACCAGCGCAGTCTTGCAACCCTAGATCTACCTTGCATAGGATCCTAACATATGCAATCGGTCCACATCATCCTTGGCAAGCAAATGGAAGCTAGTCCAAGGCCAGACGTTCTGGGAAGGCATGCTTGGGAATCCCATGGACGAAGCTCTCTGCCAAGAGCTGATCCGCTACGGCCAGCTCGTCTAATCCGTGGTGGATGGATTCAACGAAGTCAAGGCATCTCGCTGGTATGGCCTGTGCGTTCACGGTAAGTCACAGCTATTCCCCAACCTCCAGATGGACAAAACCGGCTACACTATCCACAAGTACATCTATGGCACCACCAGAGATAACGATCGCTCTCGTCTTACCACAGGTACCACCAAGGAGCCCCACACTGCCTGGTCTGGCTACCTTGCCATGTCCAATGACAAATAAAGCTTGAGATTGGGACGAAGAGACATCCTCCTTGCGTTTCGGGGCATGAAGCTCACTCGGGAGTGGTCGACGCGCTCTTGCCTCTTGCTCGGCTGAATCCAGCCAAACCGTCAGTGGCGGCCGGAAGCCCCTCGCCCGTGTTGGTGTCCGACCATGTATCCACACTCTACACCCATTCCTATCCAGGTGAGGAATTTGGAAACAATTCTGCCCGGGATCAGATAGTTTCCACGCTCAGGAGCCTCATCGATGCAGACAGGGACGAAGAGCTGAGCATCACGGTGGCCGGGCATAGCTTTGGAGCTTCGCTCGCGATCCTGTGTGCCTACGACATTGTCAACGAGAGCGTCAATGCAGCTCACAATGGTAAGGTGATCCCGGTGACCGCATTTGCCATTGGTGGTCCTCAAGTTGGCAACCATGCGTTCAAGGTGGCGGTGGAAGGGTTGCAAAGCCTGCGAGTCCTCACCATGGTATGGATATGGTTACCAAGCTGCCGGGAAACGCTCTGGGTTTCGTATCTCACATTGGGGTGCTGCTGGAAGTTGTCCACACCAGGTTGGCTTATCCCAAGCACGAGGGTGTTCTAGTGCATGACTTGCAGCTCTATTTGCATTTAATAGGCAACAAAGTGGAGCCTTTTAAGTATCACTTCTGAACAGGACGACAGATCTGCTCGCAAACCCAATCGTTCCGCCCAAGTGGTGGTATGTCCAAGGTGTGGATGTGAATGTCACTGTGGACGAGGAAACAGGGAGGCTACGTTTCAAGCTGACTAATGTCTCTGCATGATACAGAGTTTAGCTAAGGAACTTTCATGATCAAGCCAGTTTGTATTCTCATTACAGTCTCTCGAATCCGAGTTTGCAGATTCTATCAGCTTGTCTTGGCTTCGCTGGCGTCAAATCTTTGCTCAAGGAATCAGCGGTCTTTGATAGTTTGTCTGCTCCATCTGATGAAGGTTACAAAGATGTGAAATCACTGAGCAGAGTTCTCAGTCGGGCTTTAAGGCCGCCTATCTTTTCGCATTGTCTCTCCCAGTATTGCTCAATTTCTTGGATCTCAAATTACACCTCTTCTATTTTACTTCGATCAAGCTTGTGACCAGGCATGATCGGTCACAGAGCTCCATTTCAAGAAATCTTTTGTGCAAGAAGAAATCTTTTGCAGGAGGTGTGTTTCTGGCACCCCCAAGCTAAAGTATTCATTTTTTTAAAAAACACTGACTTCCACAGGGGGCACCCCAAGTGCCGCCACTATCTAAACCCCTTGGATAGTTCAAGCGTCCACTGAAACACTACTCTTAGACTAGGCGATAGCACTCAGCACCATTCTTGTCAAGCCGGAGCAACTCGACGAGGCCGAGCTCCGCAGTGCCGTGCTCTCAGCCACCCTTGCTCGATTCACGTCGCTGCCGGCCGATGATCAGCTCACGCAGCTCCTTGAGTTTGTACAATGTACGAAGAGGTCAGAAGAACTAAAGAAAAACTCCTCACACTTTTCTTTCTTGTTTTCCCTTCTTCAGCACTCAAGGAGATGCCGCTTGCCCTCCCATCCCAGCATGAGTTCGATGCGTACGAGCTCCCCACCAAGTTTTTCGAGATCATCTTAGGAAAGCGTCTCTCAAGTTCGGGTAAGGTCTTAATCTTCGGGATTGTTTTGAAGGGCGTGTTTCCGATCTTGCAGGGCCTTGTACTTCAAGAACTTTGAGCCCATTGCACTGGACGAGGCCGAGGATGCTATGCTCGAGCTTTACTTCGAGCGAGCTCGGATCCAAGATGGGCAGACAATACTAGACATTGGTGCTGGATGGGGCTCGGCTTCTTTCTACATTGCAGAAAGATGCCCTCGCAGCCACATCACTGCTGTCTGCTCCAAACTTCAAAAGGATTACATTGACAACAAATGCAGGTAAGCTTTTGGTTTCTTTAATTGCTTTCCAAGATCCCGAGGACAGATAAGTCACTAGTGCTGGTTTTCATTCAGGGAACTTGGCATTTCCAATGTCCGAGCTATAGAGTCCGATATCTGTACACTTTAGTTGGATGAAACTTTCGATCGGGTTCTTTGCATTGAACTGCTTGAGGTGAGCGATCTGTCTTTTTCTTTCAAGTCTGGTGAGCCATAAAGATTTGATACAGTACTTGAAGAACTATAAGCTACTGTTCAAGAAAATTTCGTCGTGGATGAATCCGGATAGCCTGCTTTTCAGTGAGGCCCTGACTCACAAGTCCTTCGCGAGGCATTACCAGGTAGTATAGCTCCTGGAATAATACAGCTCTAAAGTATATGTTGATGTAGGAAACTCAAGGTGATGGGATGACAGCTTGGATTGGAAAATACTTTCTGAATGGAGGAACACTCCTTGCGGACTCCCTGCTTCTCAACTTTCAGGTAAGATAGCAATTTGACATAACTCTCAGTGATTAACAATTGTCCTGACTCAACCAGGATGATCTATCCATTGTTGATCACTGGCGTATCGATGGAAGGCATCATGGTCTTTCCAGGTAAGGCTTGAGTTTCTAAAGAGAAAAGCCAGCCACTAAGCGTTTGAGGGCAGTGATGCGTACGCAAGACAAATGTCTGAGAATGCAGATTTGATCCGGCCCATATTCAACGACATCTATGGTAAAGAGCAGGCCAACGTTTGGATGGGGCGATGGAAAGCTGTGTTTATTTTGTTCGCGGAGATGTATAAGTTTGACAACGGCAGCAGTGGCTCCTTTCTCATTATCTCTTCAAGAAAAATTAAAGGTTCCTATAGAATATCTTTTGAATTTAATTCTCTAAAGTATAAACTGTCTCCAAAGATTTATGTTTTAGTTGAGCTCAGTGCTGTTCTTACTAACCGTGTTATCACGTCTATGATCAAACATGTAATAATATGTTAGTAAGACTTTTGGATGTGGATGTCTGGCTGCCTCCACTTGGGCGCTACAAGACCCTCAAAAACATTATTAAATGACACAGATGGCTAAAGTCAAGAGGTGGGGTACATGATCCCACACTATCTCCGTGGGTCGCAAAAGTGGGAGTTATTGCAAAGTTGGCGAAGTGTTCAACGAAGAGAATACCACAACACCACGGATCTAACGTGGGCCGGGTGAGTTTCAAAATATATACGCACAGATTGTCCATCTCAATAGATTTTTCGGTTCTTGAGGATGGAGACCAAGCACTTGCAATCTCGTGTCGCCATAGTCACCTTTCCACTACATGGCCACCAAAATCCGATGATGCGATTGGCGTGTCGCCTTGCAAGCTTGGGAATCCGGGTCACATTCTTCACCAGTAAATGGTTTGAGAAATCCGCAAAACCATCCAAGGCCTACGAGGAGCTCATCAAGGTGGTGGGCATCGAGGGAGGATTGGATGACAATCAGCTCAACAGCAGCAACGATGCCATCGCCGATGTGTTGCGAGAATCCGAGAAGATGAGACAGCCCTTTGAGAAGCTAGTGCTCGCCGATGAGGAGGAGAATGGGACGCCATTCGCGTGCTTGATTGTCGACGCGTGCTTCCCATGGCTTCCGGAAGTTCGTCACAGGTTTGTGGCTGGATTCTGGGCGAGCACCGTTGCTTGTGCGAGTGTCATGGTTACGCTGCCAGACCTCGTAGCGAAAGGATACCTCCCAGCCCAAGGTGAGAAGTTGCTTTCTCCAGGAGCAAATGGACTAGCTCTAGCAGGCATTCCATTCTACTTCCACACCGCCAACGAGGAGGATCTCAGGATGAGCATCGAGTTTGGGCAGGTGCTTCTTCATCCTGGGATGAGCTGCCTGCTGCTAAACAGCTTCGAGGGCGCGGAGAAGCAGAGAATCCAAGAGCTCCAGAGCCTGCTGCCTTGTCCGTGCCTCCCAGTGGGTCCTCTAATGGCGACTGACCAGAATGGGATCGCTCGACACGCTGATCGTTGCCTCGAGTGGCTCGACGAGCAAGAGCCCAAGTCCGTGGTCTACGTCTCCTTTGGAACGCTCGCGTATGTCTCCGCGAAGCAGTTCGAGGAGCTCGCGCTGGGGCTGGAGTCGAGTGGAGCGTCCTTCCTCTGGGTGGTCAGGCCTACACTCGTTGACAAGCAAGAAGACGTTGAGATCTTCCTCGAGGAGTTTCGAAAGAGGACGAGCGCGAAAGGTTTGATCGTAGCTTGGGCGAATCAGCTCCAAATCCTGGCTCATCCATCGGTTGGATTGTTTCTCTCGCACTGCGGCTGGAACTCGACGTTGGAGGCTGTGTGGAGCGGCGTGCCCGTGCTGGCCTGGCCCCTCTTTGACGAGCAGAACGTTTGCGCTCGCTATCTCGTCCACGACTGGAAGGCTGGCACTCCGATCAGCGACGCTGCACTGGCGAAGTCGGGCGTGCTTGTAAGTCGGAAGGAAGTCCGAGATGGCGTAAGATCCGGCCTCCGGGACGAGTCTCTTCGCTACAGCATGAAGCGAGCGTCCAAGGCTGCTCGCGAGGCTGTCCAGCCAGGAGGCTCCTCGTTTTCCAGCATCGAAAAGCTAGTCCTTGCGATTAAAGCCGGATCATGGAGCTCGTAGAGTTCTTTGAAGTATCGTGAATTCTTCACTCCCTTCTCACACTGGATCATCGTCTCCAAACACCATACAGAAACTTCTTTCAACTCCATTGATTTCATCAAATTCGTTTCGTTTTACTGGTCTTGAATTGAGAACGTTTGGTTTTCTTCTCGAGGGGTATAGCTTAGAGCACTCCTTCGTCTTCGTCTTCCCAGATGGAGGTGGAGTCGCCGGCGCATCTCTCCGCGGCGTGCGAGCGCCTGTTGAGCTCGGGCCTCTACTCGGACATCACTTTCCAGACGGGGGACGACTCCACCCCCGCCCACCGCTGCATCCTCGCGTCCCTCTCGCCAGTGTTTAGCACCATGCTCTCGGCCGGCCTCCAGGAGCAAGAGACCGCCACGATCGCCATCACCGACATGACCACTCCACAGCTCCGGGCCTTCCTCCTCTTCCTCTACACGGGTCGCCTGGAGCAGCAAAAGGTGGCGGAGTCGGGCTTGGCCGTGCTTGCCGCCTGTCACAAGTACTGCCTCCCGGGACCTCTCATGAACGCTTGCGTCGCCGGCCTGTGTCGATCCATCACCTGCGAGAACTGCCTCGGCCTGCTGGAGCTCGCGGATCTCTACGGCCAGGAGGCGCTGGCTGCCAAGTGCCAGAGCTTTGTCACCAGTCACCTGTCCGAGTTCCTCGATTGCAATGGAAAAGCGCTCGTCTCAAAGAATGCGGAGCTCCTGCTGGACCTGGTGAGAGATAGACTGCCACCGCTTGGCTTCCGGGAGATCAAGCTCTGGTTCCGACGATACAACACCCAGAAGGTCCGCTTGCATAAGGTCGTTCTTCCAGCCGGTAGCACTGTCGCGGAGCTTGTGTCCGAGGTGAATAAGCAGCTCAACCGGCCGAACAAGCTCAGGGTGTCGCTCCGGATTCTCCAAGTTTTCAACCATCGGATCGGCCGCATCTTCAAGAGGAAGGATCCCATCTCGGTCATCAGCCAGGAGGAGTCGGACGGTGATGGCCTGCGAGCCGAGGAGGTTCCACCGGACGACGAGAAGTCTCTGGCTGGTAAGTCTGTGATTCACGTCCACCACTTCCGGACTGGGACCTGGTCGTATGAAGCTTTCGGAGAGCCGTTTGCAATGCACGTTCACCACCAGGAGACTCTTCGCAGGATCAAGCAGAGGATCAAGGCGAGGCTGGCTGTGTCCAACGAAACTTTTGAGAAGTGGAAGTTTGCCAAGTTCCATACGGTACCAGGCCTGAATGAATACGTTCCCCCGGTTTATCTCGACGACAATATGCCCATGGCGGTGCTTCTGACGGTTGATGGATGCTCGTCCTCTAGAGCAATGTCAACGTTGCCTCTTGGCATCCACCACACCCAGGATGTCTTGGGGTCTTGCAAGTAGAAAACATATCCTGCTTTCTTTTGAGTATTACAACCAATGGGTTGAGCTGACATTAAAAAAAAAACAGAGAGTTCTTGTACCCAAGTACCTTGTGAAATTAAGCTGCTACAACGTTGTCTAGTGCGTCCTCGGTGTTCAACACTTCTACCAGCTCGACGTCCAAAATATCTTTCCGAGGATTAGCAGCGGCAACTATAACTCGAACGGCATCACCAGCTTCTAGCTTCACGTTGGTGCTCACCGATGTATGCAATCCCACCTGCAAGTCACATTAGCCAGCTTATAGAAAACAGGAAACACTGAAAACTTCATACCTCCTTGATGGAGACGACAACTTGTCCGTCTTTGACCCTGACTACCGACGCTTCATACAGCTCGTCCCTGGGCCGCCTCCGCAGATACTCAATAAGCCAGTACCTAGAGGACGCGTTTCCCAATTTTCTCGCCTCCTTCGTTTTCAAGTTGGCTAGCATAATCGCTGCCTCGAGCTGGCTACTGCTAAGCGGTGGAGACTTTTTGCGAAGGGCTGCTTTAACCTGTTAACCAAAACGATCACGATTTAACAAATCGTCAGTAAAAGAGTACAAGGAGAACCTGGTAGTGTGCCAACAAGTCACTATATCGTCTGATTGGAGAAGTAAACTGAACGTATCCAGGTAGGCCCAAGCTAGAGTGCTGTAGCGGTTTGGTGCAGTTCATCTCGACAGCCATGTCTGACTGTCCTCTGTATGGCAAAGCCAGAATCTTCTCGTTGCCGTAAGCAGCTATGGCCTCGCCACACAGAATCATCATCTCTGAAACAAGTTGTCCAGAGGGACTGGTCATGTCGATCACCTGAAGCTTGATTTCGGGCTCAAACGAATCTGGATTGGTTACTTTGACTTCTATCTGCCGAGTGGATAAATCAACTGCACCCTGTTTACAACATCCTCAAAGATCAACCACTGAAGCTAAATGAAACAACAAGCACCTGAGAAAGTCGCCATTCATAACGGAGTCGGGCAGCCTTCGCCAGCAAATTTAGCTCACGCTCTTCGTCTAGTTGATACATTATAAGCTCCGTTGCAGAGTCATACGAGAGTCGCATCGACGGTTTTATCACTGAGCTGCATACCGAAGACTCTGCAATGCTTGAAACACCAAACTTGATTTTCCAGAGGTCCAGGTAGGCTAGCAAGCAATACACACCTGCCATCTTTGTCGAGGATGACGGACACACTCACAGCGCAGCATTCCGTGTTCTGCCTAAGGCTCATCGGTCCAGTAGCTAAGTTCATGGGAAACATGGGAATCGTTTTCTCTGGCAGGTAAACGGTCGTTCCTCGGTGTTTTGCTTCTCTATTTAGTCTCAGGTTAGCCTAGCACAACAAATCAACACACGTGCACGCACCTTTCAATTATATGTTCCGGCTCTACCCATCTTGTCGGATCCGCAATGTGAATCCAAATTTTCACACGACCGTCGGGGAGCTCAGTCGCGCTCAATCCATCATCGATCTAGAAATGAATGTCAGGAAGCACAACGATAGACCAAAACACAAACCTCTTCAGTAGAATCTGAATCAATGGTGTAAACCTTCATGGCTGTTAAATCGACTCTAGAATCCTGATCAGACATAAAATTCCAGGCTTTAGAAAATTTAAGAATGAATAAAGCGCACCTTGTTTTGATCAAGACATGGCTCCTCTTCAAGAAGCTTTGCAGCCGCAATATGCTCGTCAGGAAAAGCAGTCGGAATTTTGGACTTTAGCAGTTCCACATTTACGTGAAACGGAAGAATACCTATGCCGATTAAAACATCTAGAGCAGATTCAGGAGACTTCTGCTGTCCCAAGGCCTCCAAAACCTGGAATATATTAAATCAGAATCAAACTTTGATGCAACGTGAGTAGCTTACCTCTTTTGCCAAGTTCTTCTGAGTTTCATCGGCAAACGCATCTAACGCAAATTCCTGCAGAGCTTCTACGCGGGCGAGCGCGAACTTTTCCGAGGACCAACTGGTGGGAGATGGCTTTGAATCATGAGACCGTGCTAAGGCGGACTTGACCATGTTGATAAAATTCACCAGCTCCATTCGAGCGGTTTCCTCGACATTATACTGGTGTTGTAACTCCTGCACCTGATAAACAGAAAGATCAAACATGAGAGACAATGATGTCGAGCTTACCTCTGCACTAGACCGCGGTTCATAAAAGACAACAGGCCCTTTTTGCTTGCGCCTAAAGAACACTTGCTTTGAAGATAGCATACAATGCGTTGCATAGTACTCAACATGGGAAACATCCCCAAAAAGCACCTGCAATTGCGAGGCAGACGAGTCAACCATTTCAACAAAACGTCGACTCACAAACTTTGGCTAGCTTCTTTGAACTTATGGATTTCTCCTCTGACTCAACCAGCTCGTGCCATGCAATTTCTATAAGAGACAAGTCCTGCAAAACGCAAAATTGTTTCATAAGAAAAAAGTGAAAGAACAAAAAAAACCTGTATGGCTTCCGTTTGCTTCAGGAACTCAACGATGTCTTCTGGTTTAAACGTTTCTACATCTGGAACAACGTATCTTACTTTCCCAGGCTTCACCGAGTGGGAATTTCCATACTGCAAATGAGCTATAGCATTAGTTATAGAGCATACTTCTTCCAAAGCTCTGAAAGAATAGTCACCTGGTCTATGGCAATCCAGTTCTTCTTCCCTTCCGGCCTATCCACAACCGCACAAACAAGCTTGCCATCTTTTACAAGCTCTACAAGCATTCCTTTGCGAAAAATTTGATCGCCGGACGTCGCGACCTCCTCGCTCGCGCTCACTCTCAACTCTAGATACCTGCGAAGAATCCAAAAGAAACCAGCTAGAAGAAAGCAAAAGGATTCTATAGACAACGCCCATACCTCCCCCTGATTCTTTCCTTCTTCGTTTCTCCCGTCTCCACAAACAGACCGACAAGCTGCTTGAGACTGGCAAGGCCATCGCTCCATTTCCTACTCAGCAATCCATAGCTGCTACTCCAGGGGCCTTCAATCCCTCCCCGCATCGCCGACGAAGTCGTAAAACTCCTCCTGTTCCCTCGCCTGCCAAGCAAAACCCTCCGCGACGAAGAATCCCGCCGCGACGACGATACCACCCCTGCCGCCGCCACTCGATCAATGCCGCGCCCTGACGATGGCACCATCGCCATTGTCGCGTGCAGCGCGGAAGACAAGCAGGCTGCACAGAATCGCCCCATAAGCGCCGCGACCAGCGGCGCTCAGCAAACCATGGCAAATGCGGGACGCGAATCAATCAAAGCACGCGGAGCTGGGATCCAAGAGCCCTATCGCAGCTCTTTCACATAAACCCTATCTCTAAAACCCTCCCCTGTTCTAGGGCAAAACTAGGGTTCTTCATTATCCCCATTATTACATACAAAAGGGGGTAAAGTGTTCTTCGAAAAATCAAGGAAAGAATTCCCAGTGGTCACTTGGAGCTCCCAGAGGCGTCGATCTGGCCCTCTTTCTCCTCGGCCTCCTTCTCTCTCGCCTCCTTCTCCTTCTTCTCCCTCTCGCGACGATCCGAAATCTCGAGCTCCACCGCATCCCAGCTCGACCGATGCGTCGGCAAATGCTTGGATCGCTCGTAGCCCTCGTCGCGGATCCTGATCTTGTGCCCCTCGGGCACCTCCCACGGCTTCCACTCGATCATCTTGGGGATGAGCTTGAGCTCGTCCTCGGCCTGCTTGATGAGCTCCTCCACTTGCCCACACCCAATCCTCTCCTCGATCTTCTCCCAGTCCTCCTCCTCCTGGCACACCTTGAGCCGCGCATTCGTGATCTTGAGCACCGCCTGCTTGTAGAACGCCTCCTCGGGGATGCTCTCCGCCGCGAGCAGCGTCCGCTGGTAGAGCCCCAGGAGCTTCTCCCGCGCTTGCGGCTCCACCCGGAGGCCCGTGATCCCTGTGGATTTCTTCACCTTGGCCAGCAACGGGCCCGGATGGAAGCGCCGCGCCCACATTCTCGATCTAGCGCCAAAACCCTCGCGAGCTCTCCCCTGTTTTTAGGGCTCTTCCGGCACGCGCAAGAACCCTAATTCACAGAGTTTTAACCATTATTATAAAGGTCGTTACTTTCGCGAGACTACTAGAAGAAACCATCACCTCGGCTGGAATGGAAGCCACCACCAGCGTCTTCGCGCCTGGAAACTGTCACTAGAGCTCGCTGCTATTCGATCGAAGCCCGGTTCTTGGCTAGAGTAATCCGGCTGCTGCCTCTGGACGTGACTACCACCATTTCCTTGCCTGCTGCTACCACCGATGAGATGATTCCCCAGGCAAATCACCAGAACGATCCCCACCATGCTCAGCATCGGCGCCGCCGAGAGCAAGGACCATCCTCGTCCCCGGCTCGCCGGAGTTCCATTCCTCCGCTGCACTGCTCCTCCACTGGTGTTGCCTTCGTCGATCATGGTGGCGTCCAGCAGCGGTTCTTCGCTAACTCTTGCGGCTTCAAGTGGCGGCTGGATTTCTTCTTGTGCTTCCATCCTGCCGCTGCTGCTTGCACCGTCTTGAGCGCTCGTAGAGCTCGAGCTCCCGGGACGAGAAACACTCGCATCGCTTTGCTGCTGGGCGTCGTACTGCTCTTCGGTTTGCTGCTGGGACTCGACGTGCTCCACAGCTCGAGATGGCGTGCTCCTGCGTTGGCTGCTCATCCTCTTCTGGTCCTCGTAGTCGGGGTCGTCTGTTGGAAGCTCGAACCGGCAAACCGGGCATGAGTTTCTGGAGTCCAGCCACGGAAGGATGCAGTCGGCGTGGTAGAGGTGCAAGCACGGCATCTGCTTTGCCGGCTCGCCCACGCACACGGTGTCTTTGCACACCGCACACACAGCCGAGCCGTCATCGAGGTGAGCCTGCTCGATGAGAATTGTCGGAAGCGTGTCCACTGCCGACTTGGCTGCTGGAGGAGCTCCTCTCCGCGAGTTGTCATTCTCGGCGAGCTGCTGGAGAAGAAGCTCGAATCCCCTGGCATCGACGTAGTCCCCCGGATTGCCTACGTACTGCGGGACCTCGACTCGGACCTCGATGTTCTGTCCGACCAGATTCTGGAGGAGCTCTTGCAAGTAATGGTGCAAGTGCGTCGGCCTCCGCGCGTTGTGTCCCTGTTCTCTCCTCACCCGAGCATTCCTGCGCGGAGGCAGTTCCTCCGGTGGCTGCCGCTGCTCTTGCTCGTTGTGAGCTCCTTCATCGTCAGCGTTATCGTCCCCGCCACCTTGTCCAGCAGCACCTTCTTCGTCTCCAACTTCCTCCCATTCATCCTCGTCGTCCTCGTCGTCCTCGTCCTCAGACTCCCAGCGTTCCAAAAGAGCCGCTTCGACCTCACTCTCGCTCTCATCGTGATCACCGTCGCCATCATCGTGCGCTTCGCTACGTTGCAAACTCGACGAATTCTCTCGTTCCTGATTGGTGGCATCAGCACTCTCTTGCTGTGCTTCGCCATGCTGCTCATTCCTGCTATCATCGCTACTTCCACTATTGTTCTCGTTGTTGGCTCTAGCTGCCTGTCCCAGGAGCTGCAAGACATGGACTAGCTGCTGCGGATAGAGCTGACCAAAAGCATCAGTGAGTGACACAGCCTGGGCCTGAGGAGTGCGAGCAACAGTGGGAGTGTTCCCTCTTCTTCTCCTCCTACGCAAAGTATTTCCCGGATATCCATGGCTGTCACTGCTGCTACCATTGTTGTTGCTGCTACTAATGTTTAAACTGCGACCAGGAGCCTCTTCCCCAGTTCTTGGAGGCGGCGATCCCAGAGGCTCCACAAAACCATTCCTACACTCGGAGCATATCATCACCGAAGGACCATCTTCCCGTGCTTCCACAGTCACCTCTTTCCGGCACTGGTAGCACCAATACCCCGGATTATCTGCATTGCCCTCGCCAGAATGGCTGCTACTGCTGGCAACGTTGGAAGAAGACGATGCTTCAGGCTGAGGATCTGCCATGGCTAGGTCTACCCCCTCGACCGATTCCTCCGGCAAAATCTAGGATTTTGAGCTCATACCTCGGCAATTTCGCGTGATCCTAGCTCGCTGCAAGGTTCCAAGACTAATCCCTTGCCCCAGCTACACCTCCGCCGATGCGCGGAGAGAATTGCCGCCAACGCCAAGCGCAGTCTACGCGACGCCGGGGCGATCGCGCTGCTCGCGGTGCGATCGCCGCGCTCGACCTTCGCTCCTGGTGGGTGAAGAGGGGCGGCAACTCTTGCGTTCACCCAACCCAAACATTCTCGTATTTTTAGGGCCCAATTTCTCTAACACCGCTTAGAGATTAGAATATTCCGGCACATTGTATTGCATATTCTGTCGTATTGCCCTAAAATCAAATTGACGTCAAAATTTGAAATAGTGGCTCCAAAGTTCTTTCAAAATCTCGTGCGTGTGTACCACAAGCGAAGATCAATTTTCGCGAGCGCTCAAAGACTCCAAAATGGGTATTGATCTCTTCTTTGTTCCAGTCAGGTATAAATCATCGCAAGAGCTCGAGTGATATCTCACAGAAGTTTAGATCACTACCTCGATGGCGGCACGGCTCTCTCTTCTTGCATGCTGTTTGCTCGGTTTGATCACCGCCACCATCGCCCAAATCAGCTTGCAATGCCCCCCGGCCGAGGCGATCATCCGCGACACCGTCTTCCAAAACTTCCTCAAGGACCCGACCTCTCCAGCGGGCCTCCTGCGCTTACACTTCCACGATTGCTTTGTCGAAGTAAGTTCTCTTCACTGATCCATACTTGGCTCTTTTTCTCGCCGTTTCTTTGATCCATAACTTTCGTCTTCCAGGGATGCGATGCTTCAGTGATGCTCGAATCCACTCCCACTGACGGGACAGACGTCGAGAGATTCGCTGACGGGAACAATAACTCCGTTCGTGGATTCGAAATCATCGACGAGGCCAAGACGAGGATCGAGGCCGTGTGTCCGGGAGTTGTGAGCTGCGCTGATATCATCGCCGTAGCAGCCAGAGATTCGTCCGTCATTGTAAGAAAGCTTTTCCTCCAGAGTGGTGTAGTGTTCCTGGCTTGGCTTGACCCCTGGTCTTCTTTGTCAGCTCGGAGGATTGTTCTATCAGGTTCCAACCGGAAGGTACGATGGAAGAGTTTCCAACAGGACGCTCGCCAATGAGAGACTGGCTAGCCCATTCGAAAACATCGACCAGCTGAAGCGAAAATTCGCAAACGTTGGATTGTCTACTCAGGACCTCGTCCTTCTTTCCGGTAAGTTGTTCTTCCAAGCCCCTATTTGCCTGTTTCCTGACCCAAGCTTTAATCTCTAGGTGGCCACACTATCGGTCGAACAAAGTGCCGCTTCTTCGAGAACCGTCTCTACAACTTCACTGGTGGACTGCCGGATCCCAGGCTGAATGCCGAGTACGCTGCTGCGCTCCGACGGATTTGCACTCCACAGGGAGCAGACCCATGCCCGACAGTGGCCCTGGACAGAAACTCCGAGTTTAGCTTCGACAACGCCTACTTCAGGAACCTGGTCGCGAACAATGGTGTACTGAACTCCGACCACGTCCTTGTTGAGAGCTCTGAGACATCCGGCCTCGTGAGGAATCTAGCTCAGGATCCCAACCTGTTCAAGGTTTTATTCGCGGAGTCCATGATCAACATGGGAAATGCTGCCTGGAAGACCCGAGCCAACGGAGAAATCAGAAGGAAGTGTAGCGCTGTAAACACGAGGCTTACCACCGAGGTCGGACACATAGCAGCCGTCTAAAAGTTTGCGGACCTCCATACCTTATCAAAAATCGTACTTTGAGCGTCCACTCTTTAGAACGAAGCATTGTAGCGGCAGCAAGTCTTTGGTTGCTGCTACCTGATGTTTGTGAGAATCCCAAGCTTCGAGCATCAGCCTTTTCCTGGAGCCTTTGAAGTGAATAGCTTTGACGTCCAGAGGCATGCCATGGAACTGTCCAGCTCCTTCGGCAGGCGTCCAGTTATACGACGAGCAAGGTAGGAACAGCACCTCCACCCCTTTAACTTGGCTCTTGAAAACTTTCCCCTGCTTGAACGAATCCTCGAGAGGATCCGCGAAGTGCCTCACCACCCAAGCGAATGCGAGCTGGTCACCCATCATCCGAGACGCTCGAAAGAAGTCCCTCCTGTAGGAATCCACGACGCTCTGGAGCAGCAGCTTTCCTTTGGCCAGACCATCTTTGCTGCCCCTCACGAAGATCATCCCCGAGTTGATGGGCTGTTCTTTGTTATTCCGGAACGTAAGAGCCACGTCAAAGCTGGGAAACTCGAGAAACACGCATCCCAAATCCCCCACGACGATCATATCCGAGTCGGCGAATATAAAATGCTGGAGCGAGTCGGCCTTTCCAACCTGTTTGATCTGATCGTCCAGGAATGCAATGTAAGAGTCCAGCCTTTGGAGCATGAGATTGCCGCGGGAGTAGTTCCCAGGCACTCGCTGGAAAGAGATCCCAGCAGGGAGCCTTTCGGTGGAAATCGCGGCGGCCGGATCTGTCAGTACGAGCTGCTGGGAATTGGGCATGGCCAGCCGCGCGGACTCCACAAACACGCGAAGAACAGAGTAGCCTTTCTCCAAGCCCCGCAAAACCCTGCCCCCAACTACAGAACCATCGCACTCACCACTGTGTCGATCGGGCGGGACGAACAAAGAAACCAATCCCACGCTCTGCGTACCACAGCTGGATGAAATCCAGGTTGCCGCTGGCTTCCCGGAGGAACTCCGGCACTGGATCCGCCCTGAAATACCCAGTCCCGCGACCAGATCATCGTCCTGGACGACGCTGCTGTGCTTGAGCTTGCTGCCGCTGCCGCCGCCGCGGTGGCGGCATCGAGGCGATGCCGGGGATCCGCGGAGGAGGAAGATCAGAGACGCGGAGAGCACGAGCGCCAGGAAGTAAGAGATCAACCGCATTATCGCCCAGCATCCAAGAACCCTAAAATTTACTTTAAACCCCTATTATTTTAGGGTTCTTGGAGGGAGGGGCCAAGTTCCTGCGATTTGATGGAAAAATGCGCGCCGGGAGCTGGAAGCTGGGAGCTGGGACAATGATCCAGGTTATACTTTCTTTCTATATTTTCTTTATGTAGATTTATAAGCTCTTACAATGGCAATTCGGTGCCTCTATGAGCTACTAGATTCATTTGTTCATTCTTTTTTCCCTTCGATTTTCTAGAGACTGTTGGTGTCTCGGAAGCTCCAGAGCTCTCCATCGCTGCTGGAGCGATCGATGTCCTGCTTGCTCAATCGCAACAGCAGTGCTACTTCTCCAGAGTAGTCATCATTGCTCTCGAGGTACCTCGTCTCCTTGACGCCTTGATCCTGGCTGAGCTGCGCGGCCGCGAGCTTGTCCACGGTTCTCCAGTCCGTGAGCTGCTCGGCCTGGATGAGGATAGATGGCTGTTCTTCGGCTTCGTGGAGCTTGGCAGTAGAATCAAACTCGATTGCCTCGAGAGAGAACGCTGGTGGAGGATAGTTGTTCCTCATGATGATGTTGTTGCTACTGTCTGCAGTGAAGGAGTTCTTCATGCTGAAGGTGGACGGGCTCTCGAGCTGTGGAAGCCGGGAGAATGGATCGTTGTAGCTCGGGAACTCGTCGATTCTCTCAAACTCTTGCTTGCAAGAGAATTGCTGCTGCTGGTGCTGCTGCTTTTGGTGCTGGTTCTCTCGGATCATCCCGAAACCGTGCGGTGGTAAGCTCATCTCTTGAAGCAATGTGGATTGATCTTCGTATCCAGGACTGGAATCGGACTTTTGGCCTTTGAGGTTCACCTTCTTCTTGAAAACTCGGCATACCACCCAGCCATCCTGGTCCTGCTGCATGGAAACAAGAGAGAAAAAAAAGGAAAGAAGGTTTGAGCACAGGAGTCTCTATGGATGATTGCTTACACAGTGCTATCACACTTACAGGACTGTTAGTGATGCTGCTTTGCTCGTCCTCGAGGCGGTACTCGTGCATTATCCAGTCGGTTTTCTGGCCGTTTGGAGCTCGTCCCTTGTAGAACACCAGCGTCTTCCTCATGCCGACGAAGTTGTACTTGGTGTGGATGGTTTTGTCCCGCCCGGTCGCCTTCCAGAAACCAGCCGTGGTTGCTCTGTTGGTTCGTGTTCCTGTGGGGTACTTCTTGTCCTTGTGGCTGAAAAAGTACCACTCGGTTTGCTCTGCTGATCCAATCCTACATTTCTCTGTGACAACAGGAGAGATTCAGCCAGGGGCCAGCAAAAGATGTTTTTGAGCAAGGTGGAAGCGAGTGCCTACCTTGTAAGTCCCAAGGCTCCATCTTATACAGATCAATTTCGCGAATGACATCCAGATCGATTCTTCTGCAGGAGACTTTCTTGTGCAGGTAGTAGCCGACGAGTTCCTCGTCAGTCGGATGGAATCGGAAGCCTGGTGGCACTCGGGAGTGTTTGTGCATCATCTGCGACATGTTTTCCTGCAGCCAAAGCCCGTAAGTATCTTAAGTTCGATCAATCACCAGAGCAAGAGAGGAGAAAAGAGGTACAGTATCCATCTTTCTTACTTGCGATCAGATGTGACCGAGCCTCCTCCACCTCCAATGCAGGATTCCGAGCTTGAATTCCTGGAGAGAAGGAGCTAAGGAGGCAGCAGCAGCAGCAGCAATCGAGGCAGCGGCAGAACGGCATAAAGAATCCAAACAGCAAGAAGACAAACAACACGAAAGCGAGAGAAAAGAAAAGAGGGAGCTTGCTTGGCGATGGCGCTGGCTCGAGATGCTCTGCAAAAACCTCTGGAAGAAAGACACGCGAGGCCTTTTAAGTAGCCTGGCTATGGCGGGGGTTTTACTGGTAAGTTAGTTTCCTGTCAATTTTGTTGGCTGCATATCTTAGTTTTTGTTTGTTTGTGGTGTGAATGTGACCTTGTCTCTTGTGCTTTATGTGTGGGATCCTCTTGTTTACAGGACTAGTTTACACTTTTTTTGGCTGTAAAGAGGCTGCCTCTGCCGACTTAACCCGAATCTTCGCAATGTTTCCGAGCAGCAGAGCTAAAGTGGTTCTCCATTGTTTTGTTTGCAGCGATTTTGTCAGGTAAGTCAAGCTGGTATGGTGTGTTTGTTTTTCCCGATCTTATAACTCTACGATTTGTTTTTGGCAGCGTCGATCCAATCCAATCAGTCACTGTTGCTCGTGTACAGCCTAATCACTGGGGCGATTATGACGGGATGGCATTTTCAAAGGGAAAGACACCGGAGGTACTCGACGTACAAAATGCTCTCGATACGAGAAGAACTTACAGGTTGTTCTACTGTAGAGTCTACAGCCCCGGGGTAGCCCAGCCTGGAGCTTCTTCGAGTTTTCGGGGCGGGAGTTGTGGTGGACGAAAGATGCTTTTGCGTCTCGCTTTTATCTTGGCCGAGACGAGGACATATTCCCCACCTTGTTAAGGAGGTAAAGCGCCTTCTTAAGCATGGCATGGACGTGAATTTGATGCTCTCTCTTTTGTTTTTTGTTTTTCCTTTTTCCAGGCTCGGCCCCGCGCGGTGCGGCCGTCGTGCGTCCGTGGTGGACGTCCCTCGCGCCGAAAGTGCGTTTCAAGCTTTTACCCAAGGTCCCCACAGAAAGAGGTACTCGAAAAATTCCTTTTTTTTCTTCCTTTACAGCAGTGAGGAGGCGCGTTTGATCGTGGCGAGGCGTGGTGAGCGCTCGTCCACCTCGCAAATCCTCGCATTTCCTCGCAAAATCACTGGAAGTAAGTGTTTTCTCTCTTCTCATCAAAGAGGTACTTGAAATTTTCGTTTTTTTTCTTTCTTTACACCAGTGCTCCTCTCGCGTTTGATCGTGGTGAGCTCGTGGTGGGCACTTGACCTCGCAAATTGTCCCGCAAAACCACTAGAAGTAAACGCTCGCGATTGACAATGGAAGTAAGTGTTTTTCTTCTCACGGAAAAGCTCAAAGCATCGCGATTGACAATGGTGAAAATCTCCAGATGCCGCGTCCGTCCATGGTGGACCTCCTCGCGATGAATATACTATGATAGCTATATCATATGAAACACCGAAAGCATGGTCCTTCCTTTTTTAATAATCTAAGCATTCCATATGATACTTAAGCCTATCATAATGCATCAATCACTCTTCCGTACGAAACTCCCGGGACGTGGATTCGCGTGGATCCAACGGGCGACGGCCGGCGGAATCTGGACGGCCACATGGGCCCTGTCGGCTGGATGCCCTTTCCGTGCCCTCGCATTGTCAGTTATGGACCACCGCCAGGTGGACACGCCTCGTGGCCCAAAATTCTCACACAGCCAAAGGCGACGATTATCTTCCTTATCCCTGCGACTGCCAGATCTTTGTCGAAAACTTCTTTTCTCCCTGGAGCGCGCGCTTCTCCGGGCTTGATTGACGCATTATGGATTGCGAGCTTCGATTTAGCTTGTGAGATCGTGGGCGCGCGAGGAGGATAGTGTAAAATAATGGGAAGAAGACCATACGGAATTCCTTCTTTGCAGAGGGGAGAATTTTGTGTACTTGGGCATTGCTGCTGGCCACGCTCGAGGCAGTCCTTGCCAAGCATGCCCTGCGCGGCTAGAGCCCTGGTACCAGATCAAAGCAGCAAAATTGCGATTCCCTTCTTTTGCACTCTCATCTTTCTCTCTTTGGGCTGCTTTTTGGTGCTCACTCACTTATTTGGGGCTTTGCATTGCGCTGGGACTGCTGCTGCAGCTAGTACTGCTGCTACTGGGCGCGCACAGCGCCTGCGATCAAACACGAGGAATCTTCTGAATAGATTAACATTTCTTTGTTTTCTACGATCGTATAGCTTCTCTTTTGGTTGAGATGATAGCTCTGCGTTCCAGGGGAATGATTTCGCGAATCTAGGCATCGCATCTGTGCTGTTTCTACGAGCTTCTTGTCATCATGGATCTAGTCCAAGACGAGAGCGCGCCAAGACAACCTTTTGCGGTGATAGAGATGGTGGCATTGTATAGAATTGATTAATTTATGTTTGATCATTTCTTTTGATGATTTGATTCGAATCTTGCCGTATAGCAAACTTACGAGTTGAAATTTGCAACTATCAATGCTAAAGTTTTGGAGAACTTTAGTTTCGGTGGGAACGTTGAGCCCAATACTCGGCAACGAGCTTCGCAAAACCGGAGCCTCTATCCTGGAGAAGAACCTCCGGCGGCTGGAATTCCAGGAGAACCCCTGTTTCACGCAATCAATCAGTCTGAGATCTTCATTGCGGTGATCTTACCGTCTTGGAGAGTGAGAACCATGTCGCAGTCGATCACGGTCGGGATGCGGTGAGCGACGGTGACCACGGTGCACGTCGCGAATTCCTCACGTATCACTCTTTGCAACACGGCGTCCGTGGAGGAATCGATGGACGCCGTGGCCTCGTCCAGCACGAGAACTCTGGTGCGCTTGAGAAGAACTCGTCCCAGGCAGAAGAGCTGCCTCTGTCCAGCGCTCCAGTTGCCACCTTCGTCGCTCACTGCTCGGGACACGATCGAGAAGTTTGATCAGACATCGGAAACATATAACGCTATACCCGATGAATCGAGCTGGTTCGCCATGCTATGGATTTCCTTGGCCATCTGACACTTTTCCAGAGCCTACAGCACAAGAACACAATGAAAAACATGAGCTCCAAGTAAAAACTGGTAAGAACATTTTCTTCTTACCTCCCAGATGTCGAGGTCGCTGTATTTTCCTAGAGGATCCAGATTTGTTCGAATGGTTCCACGAAACAGCGTCGGCTCCTGCGGGATGATTCCGAGCTTGGACCTCAGATCGTGAAGGCCAATCGAGCAAATGTCGATACCATCGATGAGAATGGTACCACCAGCAGGATCAACAAGCCGGAATATTGCACTTATCAGTGTTGATTTCCCGCTTCCTGTGCGTCCGACGACGCCAATCCTCTTGCCTCCCTCCATTTTGCAGCTGATTCCTCGAAGAACAAGAGGCAAATCCGGCCTGTACTTGATCTATTATAACACGAAAAAAAAACTATCAAACGTTAATCAAATCAAACTATCAATATCAAACTTCGCTCTCGATACTGACCTGCAAATTTTGGAAAACGATTTCTCCATGGCTGGGCCACGCCTTTGGTGGCCTGTTGTGCTCCACAATTGCTGGAGGCTCCACAGGGATGTCCATATATTGTTTGATTCTCTCCACTGAAACAATGTGACTCGCCATCTGACAGTACCACTGCGACATAAATACAAGGCTGACATTGATCATCAGTCCATACGCAAGTCCGACTCCAGCCAATCCTGAGAGAAGACAAAATGTAAGAAAAATGGGAAGAAGAAACAACAAGTTTACGTCGTATGTACCTGGTGTCAAGCTTGGATCCAAGTTTAAGCCAACTCCAAAGACAAGCAGCAAAATCAAACCGCAGGCCTCCACTCTGAGAATGAGCCACTCTATCGCAGCATTCGTGTGCAAGTAGATTGACGAGTCTTTGTTGATGAGCTCCACACATCTCTGCACGAACCGCTCCTTCATTTTAAAGGCTCGGATTGTCACAGCCCCTCTCACGGTTTCGCCAACAAGGTTGAGGATTGGAGCCTTGGTCATTGCATTCAGTCTCATCATCTCTTGAGCAGAAGTTCGGTAGAATGCCTGTTGTCGAAAAGCATATCACCAGAAGTCTAAGTTTTAGAAGGAAGTTCTTCAAATGGTTACCTCGATCTTTAGAATCATCCACAACATGGGAATGACAACGAGCAGCGACGGCCAAAGAACAAGCCCAAGAACAACCATGACGCCTGGAAAATCGAAAACAAACTGAATCAGGATATGTCCGGCCATGAACACGTCGACATCCACTATCGACATATCACTCGAGGCCTGCAAAGCTAGTGTCAGCCAAAAACATTGCCGTGAAACATGTAATATAACTGCGTACCCGGGTTAGAATCCTTCCTGTTGGAGTGGAGTCGAAGAAAGACATTGGAGCTCTAAACAACGACGTCATAAGGCCTGAGTAGATCGATCTGGAAGCTTTGAGCCCGAGTGCCAAGTGCACGAACAATCGTACCAGCAAGAACAGGCTTGTCACATAGGCGATAATCGTGTAGCCATACGCAACGTAAGGACCATCAATGCCTGGCTTCGTCACCTGATAAGCCAGCCATAATCCTCCCGTCACCTGGCCAGCAACCAGGCCGACTTGCAGCAGCAGATCAAAGCCGAAGAGGACGTGACCTTTGGAAATCGAGAGGTAGTCTTTGTACGGTTGCAACCCGAGATCACCGAATTCTTTCTCTTCGTCCTCCGTGAGCTGCGCAGTTTGTGTTTGATTTGTGCTCTCGTCGTTGGAGTCCGCTGGTGTGTTCGTCACACCGGTGCTCTTGCCACCATCGTCGCTGCTCTTACTGAGAGCATTGCTTAGTGTGTCGTGGTGTGCGTTCACGAGCTTCTCCAGTGTTAGCCCGGTTTTGAGGAGCTCTTCGTATGAACCAAGTTGCTCGATCGTTCCACCTTCCATCACCTTTTGAATACAAAGAAAGGAAACTTACCGCTAAAGAAAGAACTAAACGGAAATTACCACAACCACGTCCAATGCTGGAAGGAACTCGACCTGATGTGTCACCAGTACTACAGTCTTGTTTCTCAGAGATTTCATCACACACTCCTGCCAAAGAAATAAAGACAATTGATGCAGCTCATTCATCTTGGCATATACTACTTACATGAAATAATGTCGCAGCCGTCTGGGCATCCACCGCACTAAATGGATCGTCCAGCAGGTAGATATCAGCATCGTTGTACACTGCTCGAGCAAGCTGGATCCTCTGCTTTTGTCCACCACTTAAGTTCAGTCCCCTCTCCCCAATCTCGGTCAAGTCACCCAAAGGAAACGTCTCCAGATCCCTCTCCAGTGCGCAAGCCCGGATCACCTTGGAGTAACTTTCTTCCACCATTATTTTTCCAAACAGTATATTGTCTCGAATCGTTCCACTCTGGATCCATGCAACTTGAGAAACATAAGCAACGGTCCCATTGACTTCTGCCTGGATCGATGAAGACAAAAGATCAAAGCATATAAAAATGATGGAAGCCACGTACCTCTCCAGTGATCTTGGGAATCTCCCCAAGCATTGCACACAGCAGCGACGACTTTCCAGAACCGACAGCCCCACAAACCGCGACTTTTTGTCCACTCCTGATGCTCAAGTTGACACCCGAGAGGCTTTTCTTACAGTGAGAACTCGGAGAAGAATGATCGAAATCCCAGGCAAAGGTGGCAGGCCCATGAATCCGGATCCTCACTGCCGAATCCATCCCGGCGGCCCTGGTCGTGCCAACCGACGTGCTCTCATCCCCGGTCTCATCGTCTTGGAAGAATATTTGGAGTCGCTTGATCGAGACGATGGCCTGGCTCATGGAGGCAAGAACATCGGCGATGTACCTCACGGGCTCCTGGGTGTTTGCAAACGCCGAGAAGATGGTAAAGATGGCAGCGGCGTTGAGCTCGTAACCGAGCCACACGTAAGCGATGAGCGTGAGCGAGAGAGCCGTCGCGTACGAGAGCCAAAATATCATGACGTTTTTGCTCCTCCCTACGTGCATGGATTTCGTCCAGCGCAGCTCTTTCTCCCGGCAGGCATCGATCATCTTCTTGAATTCCTCCTCCCACGCCTGGAGCTTGATGATCTTGACGCTGTTGAGAACCTCGGCGGTGCGGCGGAGGCGCTCGTCCTGGGCGATCATGAGGTTCGTCTGCGCGAGCTGCAGATTCCTGGAGAATGGGATCTGGACGAAGAAAGTCACGAGCAGCACCAAGAGGGTGGCCAGTGTCGCGAGCTTCGCGATCTTGACGAGCACCAAGACGGCGATGAGGAGCTGGAGGATGCAGGCCCAAGAGTAGTGAATCCACCACGAGAACTCGCCCAGGCGGTAGGAATCCACGCCCATGTAGCTCACGATCTCGCCGCCGGAATGGCGCTGCCTGGCCTTGCTGGAAATCTTGAGGATCTTGTCGTAGACCGCAGCGCACACCGATGCGCGAGCCTTGACGCCGAGGCGGCGCGATTGGAAGCTCCAGTGCCTGTGCGCGATGGATTGAGTGGCTTTGACCGCAACGAGACCCAGGATCACGAGGAATCCGTTGGATGGATTGAAATCTCGGCGCGCGATCGAATCGACGAAGAGATAGAGGAAGATCGGACCGGCAGAGATCGCCAGGGTTCTTACTAGCGCCAGCAATCCGGTGAGGAAGATCAGCCGCCAGTGGCATCGAAGCAATGCCACGAAAATATCCTTCCTCCCGCCCTCGACGATCTTCTCTGCGTCGCCGCCTCGCGATCGCAGCTCCTCCAGCAGTGCATCGGCGCTGTCGCCATGGCCGAGCGCTGGAATATCGGCCGCCTCGAGGTGCCTGGAAGATCCGAGATGGAGGAGGGGATTGAGCCATGACAATGTGAGCTTCGCCAAGAATCCGGCATGATCGTAGCCGCCCTTGCCCGATCGCACTGGATCCTCGTCGATAAGGCTCTCCCGCAAGGAAGAAGAATCCATCCACACGATTCTCCAAAACACACGTTATTAGGTCCAGCGCAGTCAGCCCACGCTATTCTTATACCATAAGAAGAATGGTGACATCTCGCCTCAAAACCAATGTAAGTATAAACTCAGTAAAGAGAGAGCCCACCAAAAAATTTACATGGATAGGGCTTCATCAATTGTCTATTCACACAACCAATATTGTGGATGGAAGTGCTTGAAATTCTCCATCTACAAAGGCATTCACCACTCCTTTTAAATCTTGAATCCAGAGATTCTCCTTGTTTGGTCTACAAGCAGGACCACTAGCACTAGTGTCCACAACATTTCGCGCATTGTCCCAAGGATCATCCAGCCGATCACAATTCTGTGGAACATCCCGCTACATTCCTTTGACCATAAACACTACTAAACAAGCTTAAACACCATTTGCTTAATTATTAGAGAATATACTTACTGCGTCATAAACCCTCTTTTTAGTGTTCTTGACAGCTTTATTCATCATGCCTTTGAACCAGTGGAATGATCCCTGCTAGTGTTGATCAGACTGGGCAATGGAGCCATTCCATTCAGCAGCATCTCACGCCATGAGAGGTGAGGTACTTCGACATCATGCTTCCAGTAGTCTAGTGCTTTGTAAGGTTTGCTTGAATTGGCTTTGCTTTTGCAGTAGATTTTGTGAAATGAAAGATCTTAGCGAGGAAATTCGGTATGGTATGTGAGTTTTAGCTAGGTTGCAAATCTAAGCTCATTTCTTTTTGTGGGAATTGGCTGGAGCTGGTCCGTCAAATCTATAGAGCTTGAAGTAAGACTGATATTAAACACTGAATGTGTACATTTAGTCTGATTTTTTGGTAGAATTGGAATGGATCACCAAAGGTTTTTTACAGTTAGAAGGAAGCAGTGGTCCTTGCCCTTGGGCTGTACACCAGGTAGTATACCTGGCACATCAGATGAACGCTAGCGGAGTGCTCTAGCAAATCCATTTAGCATGGCAGTACCAGCAGAAATGCTTGATGAAGAGGGTGCTCTAGTCCTCAATGTCCCTGGCCATAGCCAGGGTGCAGTCAAGGTGTGCTTGTAGATTTCAGATGGGTGATGTGCTTAGAAACAAAAACATTCCATGACCAGAGAAATAAAATTAAAAACCAGTCATGGAGAATCTTATAGGGTGGGGGATTTGGTCCTCGCACCAGATGCCCAAGTCGAGCAAAAACTCCCAGTGCCACCCGAAGTAAAGCGCATCACTTCCCATGCTCAACTCATTGTGTGCTACCCTGATCCACATTTGCCTAATGTGTTTCGATTAGAAAATTGCAGCGATAATTTGTGAAACTCAAAATATCATGGCTAAATTAGAAAATAATTTATTTCTGTAGCATTTATACTTTATAAGCACAAGATTAATCTTTCAACCATCATATTCAAAAGTGTTAAGTAAATTACAAATACAAGATTAAATTAAATAGTAGAATATCCCAAGCAGTAACCACCCCAGTTTCTTTAATCAATACCATATAATGGTTAGTTTCTACATTAAATTATTAGTTAAGATAAATATAAACACGTTATAATTTTTAAATACTGCAATCAGTTTGAACACAGTGAGTGCCTTGCATGCGTACTGTATTCATCATCCATCCCAATTTGCAAAATGATTCATGCTAAAACCTTCTTGGCCACAAAGCTGACATGCCGATGGAGATTAAAATGCTTCTTCTAACACTTGCCTTCGCGTCCACTGCCTATCCACGTTCCTCGCGCTTCCTTCCAATTGTGTTCGTGGTGGCTGTGATGTTGGTCACTTGGTGATCGTAGCTAACAATCCTTTTGACAAGTCCTGCGACACAATGCTGTGGAAAGATAGAAACGAGAAAACGCGGAAGTTACCCCGTGGAATTTCTGCCAGGAAGCGCGATGGAAGAGCTTGCTGCCCGCTGTCTTTCATAAGATACGTGACCTGCAAAGTTTCTGAGATTGTGAGAAAAGAATCCACATTTCATCATCTTTTACCAAGATGGAGGTCTTCGCTTGAGTAAGCATAACATACAAAAGCCTTCTCTGTACAGGAGGGAGAGAGCGAGTGAGCGTGCACAAGGAAGAATGATAATGAGGAACCTCACCTCTTCTTCAAGAATGTCTTGGGCATCAGAAACCATATCTGTGTCGAAGACTGGAAACACTCCCTCGTTGGCACGAGCTAAAATTATTGCTGGCCATTCCAAACCTTTTGCCTGTGCAGCACAACCACGTAAAAGAGTAATCTTTTCCTTCGCTGTACCTGGTGAATCGTAGAAAGCGTTACACAGTCCGACGGAGAACTCAACGTCTTGTTGTCTTCGCCAAGCTCATACTCGTCCAGTTTGAGCGCAACTTGATCCAAAAACACTCGTAATCTCTGTATGTGATCTTTAAAGTCCGACTGGGAACTCCGCACAGTGCCTTGTCCAGGATCTCTCTTTTGCAGCCTTCTCATGTCCTTGTAACTCGCGTTCTTGCTTTTGCTCGCTGGATGAAGAGATTTAAGCGTAAGCATCCAAGTCCTAGCTAAGAAACCACATACCAGTTTGAGCTGATGTTTTGGCCATGACAAAAGCATTGTCACCATCAAAGGCCGCTGCTTCCTTGAGCAAAGCTTTGATACCAGCAAAGTCGGAGCCTCTGGACAAGTTGGCCGTGGAAGAAATCTGCAAACTCGCCGTTCGAGCCTCCTCTCGATAAGGTCCAATCTGCTGGAGAAGGTTCATCACCACATCTTTCATGCCAAGTCTCTGGATTTCTTCTTTCGTGTCAGCCATGATCTTCATCAGCACCTGAGCTCCTTTTATCACCTCTTTCACCAAAACTCCCAATTTTTCGACAACCGGCTGGATCCACGGAGTTGAGAGACTGTCTTTGCTCATCCCCAGAACATGCGATCGTAGAGTTTTGAGCGACAACGATGAAGAGCCTGCTTGTTGGAGCTCCATCACGCACGAGAGAACTTCCGAACGACCGTGTGGACAAAAGAGGAGCATCAGACGCTTGCAAGCGTAGTCATCGGAATCGTTCAGTATCAGCCTCAAGACCCCGAGTATATCTGCCAGAGCTTCACCGGTGGAGCTGAATCCCTGTACTGTCGTCACTTCCTCCTGTGACTTTCATCTTGCATGGAACACCGATCGCCTGCAAGTGATGCTGTAGCTCCACACCGACCCGATGGACTCGATACAGAACTGCAATCTCTCTCAGCTTCACCCCTTCTGCTCTCGAGCTCGACATAAAGTTGGAGATGGCGGCAACACGCATTTCCTCGCAAAATCACTGGAAGTAAGTGTTTTCTCTCTTCTCATCAAAGCGGTACTTGAAATTTTCGTTTTTTTTCTTTCCTTACACCAGTGCTCCTCTCGCGTTTGATCGTGGTGAGCTCGTGGTGGGCACTTGACCTCGCAAATTGCCCCGCAAAACCACTAGAAGTAAACGCTCGCGATTGACAATGGAAGTAAGTGTTTTCTTCTCACGGAAAAGCTCAAAGCATCGCGATTGACAATGGTGAAAATCTCCAGATGCCGCGTCCGTCCATGTTGGACCTCCTCGCGATGAATATACTATGATAGCTATATCATATGAAACACCGAAAGCATGGTCCTTCCTTTTTTAATAATCTAAGCATTCCATATGATACTTAAGCCTATCATAATGCATCAATCACTCTTCCGTACGAAACTCCCGGGACGTGGATTCGTGTGGATCCAACGGGCGACGGCCGTCGGAATCTGGGCGGCCACATGGGCCCTGTCGGCTGGATGCCCTTTCCGTGCCCTCGCATTGTCAGTTATGGACCACCGCCAGGTGGACACGCCTCGTGGCCCAAAATTCTCACACAGCCAAAGGCGACGATTATCTTCCTTATCCCTGCGATTGCCAGATCTTTGTCGAAACCTTCTTTTCTCCCTGGACCGGGCTTGATTGACGCATTATGGATCGCGAGCTTCGATTTAGCTTGTGAGATCGTGGGCGCGCGAGGAGGATAGTATAAAATAATGGGAAGAAGACCATACGGAATTCCTTCTTTGCAGAGGCTTCTCTTTTGGTTGAGATGATAGCTCTGCGTTCCAGGGGAATGATTTCGCGAATCTAGGCATTGCATCTGTGCTGTTTCTACGAGCTTCTTGTCATCATGGATCTAGTCCAAGACGAGAGCGCGCCAAGACAACCTTTTGCGGTGATAGAGATGGTGGCATTGTATAGAATTGATTAATTTATGTTTGATCGGTTCTTTTGATGATTTGATTCGAATCTTGCAGCTTACGAGTTGAAGTTTGCAACTATCAATGCTAAAGTTTTGGAGAACTTTAGTTTCGGTGGGATCGTTGAGCCCAATACTCGGCAACGAGCTTCGCAAAACCGGAGCTTCTATCCTGGAGAAGAACCTCCGGCGGCTGGAATTCCAGGAGAACCCCTGTTTCACGGAATCAATCAGTCTGAGATCTTCGTTGCGGTGATCTTACCGTCTTGGAGAGTGAGAACCATGTCGCAGTCGATCACGGTCGGGATGCGGTGAGCGACGGTGACCACGGTGCACGTCGCGAATTCCTCACGTATCACTCTTTGCAACACGGCGTCCGTGGAGGAATCGATGGACGCGGTGGCCTCGTCCAGCACGAGAACTCTGGTGCGCTTGAGAAGAACTCGTCCCAGGCAGAAGAGCTGCCTCTGTCCAGCGCTCCAGTTGCCACCTTCGTCGCTCACTGCTCGGGACACGATCGAGAAGTTTGATCAGACATCGGAAACATATAACGCTATACCCGATGAATCGAGCTGATTCGCCATGCTATGGATTTCCTTGGCCATCTGACACTTTTCCAGAGCCTACAGCACAAGAACACAATGAAAAACATGAGCTCCAAGTGAAAACTGGTAAGAACAATTTCTTCTTACCTCCCAGATGTCGAGGTCGCTGTATTTTCCTAGAGGATCCAGATTTGTTCGAATGGTTCCACGAAACAGCGTCGGCTCCTGCGGGATGATTCCGAGCTTGGACCTCAGATCGTGAAGGCCAATCGAGCAAATGTCGATACCATCGATGAGAATGGTACCACCAGCAGGATCAACAAGCCGGAATATCGCACTTATCAGTGTTGATTTCCCGCTTCCTGTGCGTCCGACGACGCCAATCCTCTTGCCTCCCTCCATTTTGCAGCTGATTCCTCGAAGAACAAGAGGCAAATCCGGCCTATACTTGATCTATTATAACAAGAAAAAAAAAAAAATCAAACGTTAATCAAATCAAACTATCAATATCAAACTTCGCTCTCGATACTGACCTGCAAATTTTGGAAAACGATTTCTCCATGGCTGGGCCACGCCTTTGGTGGCCTGTTGTGCTCCACAATTGCTGGAGGCTCCACAGGGATGTCCATATATTGTTTGATTCTCTCCACTGAAACAATGTGACTCGCCATCTGACAGTACCACTGCGACATAAACACAAGGCTGACATTGATCAACAGTCCATACGCAAGTCCGACTCCAGCCAATCCTGAAAGAAGACAAAATGTAAGAAAAATGGGAAGAAGAAACAACAAGTTTACATCGTATGTACCTGGTGTCAAGCTTGGATCCAAGTTTAAGCCAACTCCAAAAACGAGCAGTAAAATCAAACCGCAGGCCTCCACTCTGAGAATGAGCCACTCTATCGCAGCATTCGTGTGCAAGTAGATTGACGAGTCTTTGTTGATGAGCTCCACACATCTCTGCATGAACCGCTCCTTCATCTTAAAGGCTCGGATTGTCACAGCCCCTCTCACGGTTTCGCCAGAGAGGTTGAGGATAGGAGACTTGGTCATTGCATTCAGTCTCATCATCTCTTGAGCAGAAGTTCGGTAGAACGCCTGTTGTCGGGCTCGAAAAGCATATCACCAGAAGTCTAAGTTTTAGAAGGAAGTTCTTCAAATGGTTACCTCGATCTTTAGAATCACCCACAACATGGGAATGACAACGAGCAGCGACGGCCAAAGAACAAGCCCAAGAACAACCATGACGCCTGGAAAATCGAAAACAAACGCAATAAGGATATGTCCGACCATGAACACGTCGACATCCACTATCGACATATCACTCGAGGCCTGCAAAGCTAGTGTCAGCCAAAAACATTGCCGTGAAACATGTAATATAACTGCGTACCCGGGTTAGAATCCTTCCTGTTGGAGTGGAGTCGAAGAAAGACATTGGAGCTCTGAACAACGACGTCATAAGGCCTGAGTAGATCGATCTGGAAGCTTTGAGCCCGAGTGCCAAGTGCACGAACAATCGTACCAGCAAGAATAGGCTTGTCACATAGGCGATAATCGTGTAGCCATACGCAACGTAAGGACCATCAATGCCTGGCTTCATCACCTGATAAGCCAGCCATAATCCTCCCGTCACCTGGCCAGCAACCAGGCCGACTTGCATCAGCAGATCAAAGCCGAAGAGGACATGACCTTTGGAAATCGAGAGGTAGTCTTTGTACGGTTGCAACCCGAGATCACCGAATTCTTTCTCTTCGTCCTCCGTGAGCTGTGCAGTTTGTGTTTGATTCGTGCTCTCGTCGTTGGAGTCTGCTGGTGTGTTCGTCACACCCGTGCGCTTGCCGCCATCGTCGCTGCTCTTGCTGAGAGCGTTGCTTAGTGTGTCGTGGTGTGCGTTCACGAGCTTCTCCAGTGTTAGCCCAGTGTTGAGGAGCTCTTCGTATGAACCAAGTTGCTCGATCGTTCCACCTTCCATCACCTTTTGAATACAAAGAAAGGAAACTTACCGCTAAAGAAAGAACTAAACGGAACTTACCACAACCACGTCCAATGCTGGAAGAAACTCGACCTGATGTGTCACCAGTATTACAGTCTTGTTTCTCAGAGATTTCATCACACACTCCTGCCAAAGAAATAAAGACAATTGATGCAAGGTGAGAGGTCATTCAAACTTGGCATATGCACAACTT